CCCTGCCCGCTAGGCAGTCTAGCTAACATAAAATCCCAGCCCCACCGGCTGTAATGCGTTCCCTGCCCGCTAGGCAGTCAAGCTAACATAAAATCCCAGCCCCACCGGCTGTAATGCGTTCCCTGCCCGCTAGGCAGTCAAGCTAACATAAAATCCCAGCCCCACCGGCTGTAATGCGTTCCCTGCCCGCTAGGCAGTCAAGCTAACATAAAATATAGAAAAAGGAACACACATACACATATTATGAATACAGGAGGCAGATAGACAATCGACAGGTTCGCTTAAAAAGGCACACCGGATGAGTTAGTTACCTGTCTCTAGTAGCCTTCTGGAAGCCGGAAGTGGACCCGGAGGCAGACCGACACAAAACAGGAAAATAACACAGGCAACGGCTGTATTATGGAGGTGATCAGGCTCCGCTTGTCCCACTTTCCGGAGGTCCGCTCCGGTCCGTTGGTTCCGGCCCTCCGAACCGGCTCTCCGGTGGCCCCACGTTGGGCGCCAATTGAAATGGAAAAATCAATCAAAGTATTGATTATTTCTTTGTGTATCTGCCCCTGGCCAAATCAATGAAACAGTGCGTGCACGCTCCCTGAAGTAATTCACACCAGACACAGGTTCCAGGTTGTTGAATAACTTGAGGAATGTTTATTCAGAGGGGACGGCAAGTCCCTTTTAAAGCAGAATTACATCATATGCATTGTCAGAGATAACATGGAATAATACATCAATGATTGGTTAGGTGTTAAGTGCTTGCTATAATGCTCTGCCTACTGTAGGTGATGTCACCGGGACCATGAGGGTCTCCCACGGTTTCCCGGCGCCATCTTGATGCACGAGGTAGTTAGTCGACGTTAGGAGGGGAAGGGAGGGGGAAGGAGGGATTAGAAGCTTCTAGCAGCCATCTTGATTAAAATATGTGTGCTTAACTTTATACGTGATATATATCGTGAAATGAGTAAATAGACATTTTCTCTATCTAGGAAATATGTGCAGACCTTATTTCCACAACAAATAGTAATTACTTTTGTTTAAAGTCTAAACTTTTTGGGGGGTTTATTGCAATTTAACAATACAAATCTGTATTGCGAACGCTTCGGATCCCCACTAAATTGTAAAAAACTTTACTTACGTATTTTTCCAGTGCTAAAAGGAGTCCCTGCAACCGCTCTATATTTGTCCCATGGCTGACTCTTCTAAAAGTTCAATCCAATGCTTCTCAAAGAGGAATATTGAGGGCAAAAAGCATAGATTTGTTACATACCATAGATATAACAAAATTAGGTAAACATAATTAGTAAATCACCTTGTTAATAGGTATTTGTAAGGAACTGGCTGTGCTTTTTAGAAATTCAGCTTCCCAGAAAGCTATCAAAATGTAACAGTAATGTCTTTATGTGGGACAAATGCCCATATTCTGTATATAATATCTATCTAAAAACCTTCAGTATTCTTGAAACTTGGGTAATTGACGATGACAGACATGGGTATCCACTATCAGCTATTAATATTATATGATAGGATTTCTGTCTACATATTCAGAAATAAAGAATAGGAAGTTCATAAGAATTGAAATGCTTCCTATACTGATTTTTTTTTCCAATCTGACAATTTTTATTGGATTTTATTGGGGGGAGGGGGATTCAGAAAAGAAAAGGGGGAAACAGAGCAATTTGTGGGTTGTTGGGACCCATTAAGTGTGACATATAGATTATACATTTGGCATATCAATAGCTCTCTCGTAACACTACACATTCATCTGCTAGTGGCACATGCAATTTGTTGTTACTATTCATCAATACATTGCAAGTTATCAGAACAACGCAGTTAAATTATATTACGTATTCACGGCTGTTCAGCAATTCCTGTCGATGTTGGGAATCATGTTATATAAACATCGAAGTGAGGCCTAGGTGCCTACAAAACCTGTTAGTGATCTAACATATCATCTTTGTGCATTTAAGATTTGCTTGGTGATGAAAAAAGCTAGATTAAATACCGTGTTAAAGGACCCCATGTAAGTTGCCATGTTGCATGAGCTTTGGTGCCGTGTAGTCTTGAGAGCTCATATGCACCTCGCCACCAACTACATACATTTCAGATTTTCAGTAGGAGGGGAAAAAGATGGGAGGAGGGGAGGATGCGTAAAGAGCAGATAAGCCTCACCAGTCATTTATGGATGGAAAAAGAGTTTAAGTATGCGCAGGGATCCCCAGTTTTAATACACCAGTTTTCCATCATACTTCTTTCATTATATGTATTTGTATGGAGCCTAGGATCATCTCCAAGAAGTGTCCTACACTCTGGTTCCCTGCTTTATTTGGTAAGGTGAGTATGAATGTTTTGGTAGGGTAGTTTAACGTGGTAGGAAGTCGGGCGGTCGCTTGACCAGGGGTATAGCGAGTAGGCTATGTTGTCTAGTGTGTTTATATGAGCATCCCATGGTCTCTTTGGCTGCTTTTAAAAAGATTGTGTGCATTTTAAGCTGTCACCTGGCCATATGCTCGTAGTCTAGGTTGGTAGAGATTTGTTGCATCAAAGCCTGTCTGGAAGGTGCCTCTGTGGATTTCCAGGTCCGTGCAATTAGTGTCAAGACTGCAACAAGTGTGTGAAATACAAGAATTACTTCACATTTTGAAAACTTATCAATGTTTAAAAGCAATAGGCTTAGGCTTGGCGCGAGTGTAATTTCGATTTGTAGGACCTGCGATAGAATGCCCTCTATCATCAACCAGTATGGTTGAATGTGGTTACAGGACCACCAGATATGATACATTGTGCCTTTGTCAGCTTTACATTGCCAGCATGTGCCATTCCTACCTGGGAAGATTTGGGCCAGTCTAGCTGGTACCATATACCACCTGTAGAATGTTTTCCTCAGCAATTCGAAGTGTAAGGTGCAGGATGTTCTCCCTTTGTGTGCAATGAATGCTTTCGACCATTGTGGTATTTCAAATGAGTGTTCTAGGTCTATCTGCCATGCTAGGCTAAATTATTCCAGCGATTTCTTGTCTCCTCTGTTAAGGAGGTTGTAACACATGGAAAGTAGTTTTTTTGGGAGGGTTGGTGCTAGGCATGTTGACTCAAACTCCAATCTTGGGGTTGGTTCTGTAGGGTTAGTGTTTTAGGATGTTAGCATAGATTTGAGTTGAAGGCATGAGAATATAGCGCTGCAGGGTAGGTTAAATTTCTTCTGAAGGTCAGGGAATTGTAGCAGTGTGGTTCCCGTGAATAGGAAATGCACGTGAGTGCAGCCTCCATTTACCCACGCCCGGTGGTCAAACATTTGGTTAGCTATGTGTAGGCTGAGTTTCGGTGCAGCCTGTGACCAAGGTTGAGTGGAGCATAATACAGCCCGGACTGAGTCCCAAGTTGTTAGGATTGTCATTGTAATTGGGAGTAGGTTTGGTAGCTCAGGGCGTCCTTGTTTTGGTACCCATAATAGGCACTTTAAGTCCAGACCTTCGGTCCGGTAACTTAGCGGTTCACTGTGGGGGCTGGGAAGAGTTTATCTCCAGTAATGAGGCCAGCGGGGCTCTTACCCTTTTTTTTGCTCAAATGAAATGAGTGGTATTGTTTTGTTGGAGCTTTCAAGCCAAAATTCAGAACATGCATTTGCTCAGTTCCACTTGCAGGACTCCCCTCCCCCAAACCCCCATACTGTTTTTTAAAACTTTTTTTTATAATACATAATGTGTATCATGTTAATAGATCATATGGTGAAAAAGTTTTAATGTTTTTCTTTCATTGCAGCTGTAGCTGCACATAGAGGGATTGTATAATTTCCTGCGATGAAACAGATGTTTTTATCAAATGACCCAGGACATCTGCACATATTCAGAAGGCAATAGCCAAGCAGTGTTTATAGAGTAGTTTGAAAAATGTGATTCCAAATTCTGTAGTACCCAATGTGTGC